GTAGATATACTATACAAAAAATGTAAAATAAAGCACTAAAATTTTGCTAAAATCTGGATTTACTAAAAATTAACAATCTTTCTTTAAATTGTATATTACGCAGATAGTAAATAAAATTTTTTTCTTTTTTAATATATATTTTATAATAATATACTAATATAATTATAAAATGATCGTTTAAACACTTATAAATAACTTTAAAACATCATTTCAATAGGAGCTTTTTTAATTGTTTTAAATGATATTTTTAAAAAACTTGAAATAAATATTTTTAAGGTTAAATAGATAACAATTTAATATCTAATATGATTTTCAAGTTATTTTAAGAGAAACGAGAAAATAGTTTTAAAACTAATTTGAAAAACTTATAAATATTAATTAAAGTTCAATTTTTGAGGTTACGTTGTGCACCGGTAGAGCTTTTAATCGTTTTAATGATTTTAATTAACGTATTTACAGTTTTTTGACAGAAAAGTAAGACAAAAATGTATAAAAATGATAAACAGAATCTTCTTTACTTACTAAATAAAATATTTATGAAAAATATTTGATTTTTTTAAGTGCACAAAATAGCCCCATGGAATCCTGGTTTTTCAGTTTTTTCCACTTTTCTCTTAAAATAATGAATAAAAAGTTAGCGCATTACGTATGTATCATCACAACACAATTGAAAACAAATATCTAACACAGTTTATGAGACACATTAAAACTCTAGAAGATCTGGTATAATTTTTCCGAACTTTCAAAATTTTTTAAACAAATTTTCCGTTTTTAGGAATTTTTTTCTCTTAATTGCCAAAGAATTAAATAATAACATTTAGTGCTCTCTATTGTCATGTAATCAAACTTTCATTTTACAAAATAGCAGATTAAAATAATTCATTTTAATAATTTTTTTCATTAAAAAACTCGCGTGCACAAAATAGCCCCCGGATGCACAAAATAGCCCCAGTTGACGGTACTTGAGTTTATTCTTATTATTAATAAATACCCGACCCTTTTATTATAACATTACTGTACGCGTTTGATTGCTATCCCAAATATCTTATTACATTATTTTTAAACATTTTTAAAGTTTAATAAGAAATTACCGTTCAATAAACAAATTAGATGATTAGTTTATAAGATATTTATTTACAATTTTTAAAATATTTTTTCAAATATTCAACTAAATATTTTGCAGTAAAAAATTTCATTTTTAAGAATAAAAATGGACAGCAAAAAGAGAAATTCTATGGGCAGTAAAGTCGTACTGGACGCACTTTACAAGGACCTACTTAATTATATGGGCAGTAAAGTGGTACTAGACGCACTTTACAATCACCTATTTAATTATAGGGCCAAGTGCAGTTTACAAATTTTTGAACTCGAAACTTTCTAATTTTATGATTTTAGAAAATTTTGCTAAAACTCTTGGTATACGTTTTAGTTTTCTTCGAGACACCTCAAAAAAAGCTTCTCAAAATAATCTCTTGTGTATTTCGTGTTTCATTTTCAAAAATGTTAAAAAAGATAAATGTGAATGGTTGTGAATATGACATTGTTGATGCCGGTGGTGAAGGTGATTTCTTACTTTTGGCTTAAATATGGATCATTGGTTCACAAGTTATCTGTAAAAAATATAACTTAAAAAAATAAAATTAATAAAAATTTATAAAATTTTTTAATAATAATAATTTTTAATAATAAAATAATAAATTTTTTTAATAAATAAAATAAATTTTTTAATAATAAAGAAAAATTATTTCTTATAAAAATAATTATTATTTTGTTAAATATTTTTAAACAGGTTTCTTAATTGTTATTATTAATAAATAACGAATAATAATATTTTTAATATTAAATTATTACAATAATAAAAACGTAAGTGCGAAATTAAAAAACTGCCAAAATGGCCAGGCCCATATATGATCTAGTAATGTATGATAAAATATTGGTCATTTAATGTGCCAACATTGTCCATGAAAACGCCTCATTACACTTTCAGTAAGTGACGCTGGTGTGCTAGATGTGCCAATACTGGGCCAGTGTTGGGCCATGTTTATTTTCGAATCTACATTAGACTCATCATCTGTGTCTTCATTGCCAACTTCAATAATCATCCTCTTAATATTATGGTCAATTTGAGGTTCCAATTCTCTATATTTCTCATCTTCTTTTTGTGCGTGCTCACAAAATTTTGCTCACAGAGATGGAGTAACCTCGTTCATCGCTTTTAAACACAAATTTTGCACATTCTGAAGTTTGAAGGTTTTATTATGTTTAGCGACATAATTTTTGACGAAAGCCCATATTAATTAAATGGGATTAAACTCACATTGAGCCACGGGCAACCAAATGATTTTAACATCTTCTCCTCGAATTGCTATTTTTTCTAATAAATATTTTTTCGGATAGTAATATGGTTTGCAAATATCCAAAAGATCTGGTTTGAGCAATACATTGAACGATTCTAAATGCTCAGTTAAAGGAACCCCACGATTAATTGCCCAATCAATTATAGCTTGTTTTTTCCACTTCGTTGTCGGATTTCTGTATACGGGATCAAGCATTGTGTGATAAGCTGCTTGGTCAATAACTATCACAGATTTGTTTGGAATGATTTCAAGAATTTTTTTAAACCATTCAGTATAATGTTCACTGTTCACTTCATTATGATAATCTTGGGTGTTTTTTTCCAATAAAACAATCCATCGACGTGAAGTACTTTCACTAAAGTTAGGGATGTCTTCAACGTCTTCTGGGAAATTGTTTTGCAATGTAAAAATTGTGTATTTTTCTTCTTATTACACCTTGCAGAAACTCATAACAATCAATCTTAGGCCTTCCAGATTTTTTTTTTACAGCATTCAATTCTTCATTAATCCACTCGTTATAAACGCGTTTGACAGTTCGTTCACTCACTTTTAAACATTTTGAAGTTCTTTCAACAACCTCATTCATGTCAGCTGCTTGACCTGCATCTTTTCCAGCTTGAAAATATTATCTGGTATTAACAATTATGCTCCTTTCCGAATAAGTGTAATAGTTTTTGCCTTCATGGTAGGAATCAGGACTGCTGAAATTTCTGCTTTGGTAAGAATCAGGACTGCTAACATTTTTCAGACTGACATTATTTAAGAAATCAGTTGTAATATGGGATGTATTTCCGCATTCTGTAGTATCAGATAATAAATCACTATCAAAAACATAATTTTCGGCAACCGTTATAATGTTCTCTTTATTATTAATATTTTCGCTATTCCTTAATAATTTAAAATGTCCACCAAGTTCCGGACAAGTAAAAAGAATGTGTACATTTGGAAAAGTTCTGTCAATATCAAAAGGAATAATAAAATATTGTCCATTTTCCAGCAAGCGTACAACAAAAATATTTATCTTAAAGGTTTTCGAAATTGCTTTACATTCGATAAGAGAACCGTATACGCCACTTTGATTAATTGAATCTGTATAATTTGCACGAGAATTACATCCTAAGATAAGCGTGACGTTTGCACTATACACTGAAAGAATTTTAGGCAGGCTGCTAGGTTTTCATGTCCGAAATTAGTGCCCCTTGCGCATGGCTCGCAGCTCACCTCAAAAAAGCCAGCATCTACTCCCGAAAGGTGAGCAGCTGCCCCTAAGGAGTTGCTGCTTACCTTTCGGGAGTAGATTCTCGCCTTTTTGAGGTTAACTGCGAGCTTGAGGCAGCGAGCTCTAGCGGCACTCATGTAAAACCTGCAGCCTGCCCAAAATTCTTTCAGTGTAGTTATTCCAATTTTTCACAACATGAGAAACTGACAATTGCCTAACTTTACTGTAAGATCTTATATTTAATTCGAGAGCAATAGTTTTAAATAAACAATCACCTTCACCACCGGCATCAACAATGTCATATTCACAACCATTCACATTTATCTTTTTTAACATTTTTGAAAATGAAACACGAAATACACAAGAGATTATTTTGAGAAGCATTTTTTGAGGTGTCTCGAAGAAAACTGAAACGTATACCAAGAATTTTAGCAAAATTTTCTAAAATCATAAAATAAGAAAGTTTCGAGTTCAAAAATTTGTAAACTGCACTTGGCCCTATAATTAAATAGGTGATTGTAAAGTGCGTCTAGTACAACTTTACTGCCCATAGAATTAAATAGGTCCTTGTAAAGTGCGTCCAGTACGACTTTACTGCCCATAGAATTTCTCTTTTTGTTGTCCATTTTTATTCCTAAAAATGAAATTTTTGACTGCAAAATATTTAGTTGAATATTTTAAAAAATATTTTAAAAATTGTAAATAAATATCTTATAAACTAATCATCTAATTTGTTTATTGAACGGTAATTGAACGGTAATTTCTTATTAAACTTTAAAAATGTTTAAAAATAATTATATAAACTTACATAAATTGTTAATGTTAATGGAAGTTCTTTCACAATAAATTTTGCAGTTTAACAATAAATGTAAATGCATTTCTTAAATAAATAAATAATTGCAGAATATTTGTATTTATTTATTTTTAATTTTGTTTAAACAAATTTGTTAAGCCAACAGTATATATATATTCAAGCCAAAATTAAGCAGAGACGTGTAGTTGACCCTGTATCTCCAGCCTGCATCGGTTGGCCTTCCATATTTATACTTATTTTTCTCTTTTAATTTGTACATAAATTGATTTGTTTCCTTTGCATATTAATCATGTAATTAAACGGATTATTACATTATGATAAGCATTAATAAATTTTCTTAGATTATATTAAAAAATGTCAAGGTTATTACCAAGTGGTCTACGATAAATAACAGAAAAAAGAAGCGGTTTGTCTTCATGATGCTGAATTTATTTAATTATAAACTCAGGTTCATTATCAAATTTATTAGAAGATGAAAATAGAACTCTAAAATTTAAATCACTTCTCATATATGCTGCAACTCCACCACCACTTTTGCCAACTCTATTTCGACGAACTAACTTATAACTATAAATATTTAAAATACTGTCAGTAAATTCCTCAGTCAGCCACGTTTTACTTAAGGCCACAACATGATATTCAGTTTGTAATAAATAAGCACTTAAAAGATTAAAATTTGACTTTAACTTAGTAATCTTTGGGAATTACGCAAAAATCTTATAAGTTGCCGCAGTGTTGCGTATTTACATTTTTTGACACTTTATTTCGCATTTTCTTCAGAGTAATTTGGATATTATCGGTCGTACGCGACAACATTAGTCATGAACCTCCTGTAGACGTTAGGAATCCCAGAAAAATCTTAGAAATTAATAAGAAAATCGGTTAGAATCTTATTGAGGCAAAGGTCATCAAATTTATCTGATTTACAAATTTCTTAAGTAAAAAGCCCCGCTTGGATAATATATTTTTCTACTTTCAATGTAAACTTAGAAACTGGGGGTCAATTACGTAAATTTATTTATTTATTTATTTAATAACATAACGGGACATGCCCTTTCGTACATTATACGTACTCCCTAATTCTAAGAGTTACATTTGTAACATATAAAAACAGATACATTATGAAGGTTGGCGCTTCAAAAGTTTAAGTTCGGTATAGATGTAAATACCGATGTAGTATAATAATGAAAATAAAGTAATATAATTAGATAATATAATTAGATATTGATAATAAACAATTAAACAATTAATTAATTAATTAATTAATTAAATTAATTAATTTAATTAATTTAATTCTTAAACAATTTTATTAATTTATAATTAGATATTTTTGTTTCTCCACTGAGTCCATTAGAAAATTAGTTATTTTAGTGAATCTTACAGTTTAATAGAAGAATATCAAAATAATATTAATAAATGATAAATTTGTATCTCTATCCGAATTAATCTTAAGCAATTAGTAAAAATTACTAATAATATTACTATTAATATTAAATAATATTAATAAATGATAAATTTGTATCTCTATCCGAATTAATTTTAAACAATTATTAAAAATTACATAAAAAATGCATTTGATTTAGTTTGACTTTCACCGCATTTCAATTTTTGTACTAGACGCTTGTTTTTCAGTGCCAGTTCGTAATGTAAATAAATAAAAAAGAATTACTTTGCATTTATATTTACACTTTTTCATATTATATGTCTAACCAAGATCTTGTAAACAAAAACTCTTTCTGTGTTTTGACGTTTCGACACAAACTGTCAGTGAAAACACGTGTCTAGTAAATAAATTGAAATACTGAAAGTCCATGTCAAATCAAATCAATTTACGTAATCGATCCCCTGATGAAGATAAAAATTATCAAAATTTTGAAAGTTTTTATCTCATTGACATAAACTTTGTATTACACCATAATTACTTAAACATAATATAAATTTTCCTCACCTTCAGTTCAGTGAAAATTTCCGTGAAAAATCCAGGCTCACTATTAATGCGAAGCATCTTTGAGCTAAGACGGTTGACGATCAAGAGGCACCGGTCCCAGAACTTATCTTTGCTGTCTTCGACGAGGAATGGTTTAAGGGGATAACTTATTTCGTTACCCATGTAACTGTAGCTCAAATAGAGACACGTCAAAACAGTAGCCTGTAGCTCCTTTTCTGAAGCTTCATCTCCATCAACTAGTTCTCTTACCAACATATACACGAACACAACGTTGGCAGGATTTATGAAGGCAACGTCCTGAAAAGTAAAAAATAGCTGATTACATTTTTTTCTCTTTATCTGTTTTATATAAAGATATCTTTTTTTATTTTAAAACTAAAAATTATTACATATGGGTAGGTCTATTCAAAAAAGATTAAAGTTGTCCCTTAGTTCTTCGATTTCTATAAAACTTTGAGAAATTGTCAAAGAACAATGAAAAGTGCAAATGAAAAGTGTGAAAACGATTGTATAATTATTAATTTTAATACGATTATTTAAATAACTTTAATCATTGATTAAATCAATTCTTATAAACAATTATTTTAAACAGATGAGTTTTAACTGAAGTAAATAATGATAACATTATTTGATTTGTCATATAAATTTAAGAAAATTTATTAATTTTTTGTTAATACAAAACATTTATAATAATAATTTTTTAATAATAATAATAATAATTTAAAACAATAACCAAAGCAACCGCAGCACAACTAACACGCTTATCCTATCGTTAGTAGGTATGTGATATCATTTTTACTTCGTCAAAAATATTTCACAAAATTGTTCAAAGCGTATATTCTCATTCTGTTAATTATATATTTTATATTATGACTAATGAAATGTAAAATTAGTAAATTAATACGTATTTAGAGCTAAGAAATGTAAATGTGACATTTGTGATTTTAGAGAAACTATGAGAATGGTAAACTGTCAAACATTTCTAATATAGCTAACCAGTTTCATTCATTTTCTTTAGATCAAAGACACTGTTTGCCTACTGCATTGGAAATCATTCACTAAATTAGATGCATAGATTCTTTATATTATTTATTTTCGAAATTAGCTGTTCCCCACCGTAAACATTTTTTTCCGTGTAGTTTGTAGGTAAGATTTTTAATTAAAATATGTATTTAATCTTGGTGCAAAAATAATTCCAAAGAAGACTAATTTTATACACAAATCAGATAACAAAACAAGTAGTAAGTCTTCTGTTTAAACTTCACCCAGATAGCAGGTAATGCGGTAAGCTTACAAAACTTTCACTGCAAGCTTTTCGCATAAGTGTGTTGCAACATTACATAGAAAGATTGATGGAAGCTTGTCAGTTTGCTACAACATTGAACAATAACCCAAGTAGAAATGTCCGGAGTTAGGACGGAGTTAAACACCGGCATGGTACTGATTCAGTACTGACCGTCGGTACTGAATTTCGGAACCCGATCAGTACTGGGAGTATACTGACTCCAAAACCGAATCAGTACTATGTCGGAGTTAAAAAAGTATTAAAATCCAATATGGCGGATAAAAATTTTTGAAAATCGATAAAATTGCATAAAATTACTCACTCGGGGGTTTTTGGGGTCGCTGATTACGAATATGAAGTTCAATTTTTAAAATTCAAAATGGCGGATCCAATATGTCGGATGAAATTTTTTTAAAATCGATAAAATTGCATGAAATTACTCACTCGAGGGTTTTCGGGGTCGCTGATTACGAATATGAAGTTTAATTTTAAAAATTCAAAATGGCAGATCTAATATGGCGGATAAAAATTTTTGAAAATCGATAAAATTGTATGAAATTACTCACTCGGAGGTTTTTGGGGTCGCTGATTACGAATATGAGGTTCAATTTTTAAAATTCAAAATGGCGGATCTAATATGGCGGAAAAAATTTTTTTAAAATAGATAAAATTGCATGAAATTACTCACTCGGGGTTTTCGGGGTCGCTGATTACAAATTTTAAAAGTGCAATTTTAAAAATTGAATACTACAAATTCATAAATTTCGAGTTGTTTTGTAGATTTTATTTTGTTTGTTACTATCACGTTTTTCTGGAGTTGCCCAACTCTCACTCCGTGGAGTACGACAAAGTTTCTTAACTTTGTCTTCATTTTTAAAAAATTTTTTGAACAATTTTTTAATATTTTTTTGTATTTTTTAATTTTTTAATTTTGTTGTAGGGTGTTGTGGGGTGATGTGCAACGTTTTTTTCGTTGGACGAAAAGCATGTCAAATATTTAAATTTTTAAATATTTTAAAATTGAATGACTTAGAGGCATTATAATAGAATATTTCTGTATTATTAGATTTTAAGAATTTTAAATTTTTCCTACAAACTTTTCGCTTTTTCAAAAACGTCTGTTTTTGCATTTTCCAAAAAAAATGGGGTGATGTGCAACACCAGTAAAATTTACGTATGTAATGCATAAATATCGATAAAAATCTCTTTAATTAATTATTTTAGGCTTTTTTAATGTAAACTAATCGAAATCTGCCAAAAAAAATTTACTAAGGTATAGTTGACCTCTAAAACGTGGAGATTTCACCAAAGAAAAAAAATTTTTTTTTGTTTAATTTTTTATTTATTTATAACTGAATAAGGAATATAATTAAAGGAAAAAAACTAATCATTTTTTATTCAGAATGTGAATCGCAGTTATAGCACGTAAAAAGTAGTTACGTCCACCCCAAAAAAAGTGTTGCACATCACCACAAATATGATATTTTGCGAAAAATGATTTGTACGCAATATAATGCAATGGAAACACAAAATATAAAAAGATATTTAAAAACACTTAAAAAAGCAACAATAAGCACATTCTTATCTATAAAATAAATTAAAACCCTTCACGAAACGACTAGAAATGTAAAGCGCGAGGAATATTTCCTTTCCGAGAAATTTAAGTGAACTTACGTACAGCGAACCTGGCTGCGAGCTGTCTCGTGAGTTTTATATCAAAAACAAGCTACTGAGGATACAAAAAATGGCAATACTTGGCTCTGTTCAATATCGAACTATAGATGAGAAATCGGCGGTGTTGCACATCCCCCCATGTTTCACATCACCCCACATCACTCTACTTTTTCATTTTTAAATTATTTTGTGTTTTTAACTGTTTTTATATTTTATTTAAAATTTTTTTATAACATTAAAATTAGTCGAACTCCACGTGGTGAGAGTAATCATCGACCCCGAAAACCCCCAAGTAAGTAATTCCATGCAATTTTATATATTTTAAAAAAATTTTATCCGCCATACTGGATCCGCCATTTTGAATTTTTAAAATTAACTTCATATTCGTAATCAGCGACCCTAAAAACCCCCAAGTGAGTAATTGAATGCATTTTTATCGATTTTCAAAAATTTTTATCTGCTATATTGAAACCGCCATTTTGAATTTTTTAAATTAAACTTCATATTCGTAATCAGCGACCCCGAAAACCCCCGAGTGAATAATTCCATGCAATTTTATCGATTTAAAAAAAATTTTATCCAACATATTGGATCCGAAATTTTGAATTTTAAAAATTGAACTTCACATTCGTAATCAGCGACCCCAAAAACCCCCGAGTAAGTAATTTCATGCAATTTTATCGATTTTCAAAAATTTTTATCCGCCATATTGGATCCGGCATTTTGAATTTTTAAAATTAAAATTCATATTCGTAATCAACGACCCCGAAAACCCCCGAGAAGTAATTTTCAGATGATTTAAATTAAGTTTTGAATATTGATGATGCATTTGCTATTTATCAAGTATTTTGCTCTGATTTTTCTGCCATTTTGGATCCGCCATCTTGAATTTTCAAGTTGTCAAGTACACAGTTCGAAAGTACAACTATTTTATCCACCTATAGCATACATGAGACTCGCTCAAAAAAATCTTATTGATGTGAAAAGCGTGTTTCCAAAAAAAACCTTACTATTTTTTCGGTATTTTCTCCATTTTTGGCGCCATATTGGTTTCCCTGATGGTCGAAATGCTTTTTTGACCCCAGATTCTGAAAGGGCGGACCTCAATACCCCTTAGTCCTGAAGGGTTTTTAAAAGTCTAATCATTTAGGATAAAAATTCTTACCTTGAACTTCAGTCAAAAATTTTGGACATTTTGGGCGTTAATGGGGTAATTCAAAATACGCAAAATAAGTAAAATCGATAAAGATGAGGTGACTGACCCACCAGAAATTAAAAATAGAACAAGAGAAATATCAAGGTGATTCAAAGCAGATGTGTTTCTTTTCATTGAGAAAGTGAATATAATAGTTACTGAGATTTTGTGTATCATCTTTTTTGTTAACAGAGTTATTTTGCAAATTAATGTGGATCATTTCAGATATTAAACGCTTGTTATAATTAGTCTCTTTGTCAAGTATTAAAAAATTATTCTAGTCAAAATTGTGATTAAACTTGTCAGTGTGATCAGCAATTACATTAGTTCTAGAATTTTTATGTTCTTTAATACGTACACCCACCATTCTTTTTGACTGACCAACATAAGAAGGAGAACAATTACCACAATTAATTTTATAACCTGTGTTAATATTTTCCGATTTTTTATTTTTGTCTTTGCCTTTTTTGACGAGGTTATGACTCATATTTTTATTATCAGTAGGAATTGTTAGAATATTATAATTTTTTAGAAACTCTGAAGTGTTCTTATACAAGTTTGGAACATAAGGCAAAAAGACTTTGGGAAACATTTTGTATATTATATTGTTACTAGCTGTCGTACCCGTCTTCGACGGGTTTTAGTTTCTACCAATACATTTAACAAAGTTTCTACCAATCTGGAAAATAAGAAAAAAGCCGAAAATTTAATTTGACCGGAAAATTAATAATTAGTTACCAATAGCTATTTCGGTAGTATAATATTAATATTTGAATAGTCTCCACCTTTTAGCAAAAAATAAAAAATTATCAAAAATTCGAAAAACCCCATTTCTTAAAATTTAACATTTTTTTCTTCTCTTTTATATCATTAAGCTTCATTATTTTTGTGCTCTTCAAAAATAATTTACTTATTTAAAAGTCTTCAATGTTTGGTAAAAAATCTAAAATTATGGAAAATTAGCAAAAATTCAAAAAACCGAATTTCTTAAAATTAAACATTTTTTCTTCTTTTTTTATGGCATTTAGCTTCATTATTTTTGTGCTCTTCAAAAATAATTTACTTATTAAAAATTCTCCACCCTTTGGTAAAAAAAATCTAAAATTATGGAAAATTAGCAAAAATTTAAAAAACTGAATTTCT